AAGAGCGGGCAAGGTGAGTCCATCATTAGAGTCGCAAATGACAAGAAAAAACACACACCTTTCTGTACATCCTCACACTTGGCCCTGAACTTTGGGTTTTGGGTTTTCAGTGTTCTTGACAGGTGAAGCATTACTTCTGGTTGGCTTTCTCAGTAAGGGGACCTCAAGCCATCAACACTAACCTCATCAGTCCCTTAATGCCCAAGTTGGATCAAGAAACCCTTGCTGACAATGCAGATGGCGGCTAGAGTTTGCATCAATCTAAGGTGTCAAGATGGGGGGTGGGGAACAGGGAAGGTGTGCTTGTGACAAACGGCTTTGGGAGGGGCTGCCTTGGGGTGCCTGGGAATGAGAAGGGGTCCCCAGGATCCTGTGTGGGGCTGGTCTAGGACAGATGAAGGAGTAAAGCAGGCGATGGAGAGACAGCCCTCGGGAAGGCTATGGTGTGTTTAGAAGTACAATGGATGGTTTTCTTTAAACGTTCAGACCAGTCTCACAGCTGGGATGACACAGTGAGTTTGGTTCTGGTCCCCCAACAATGCCATGCTTAGATGTGGGCAAGATGCACCTCTGCCCTGGGTCTCCTCCAGTGATAACCATCCCCGTGGAGTGAGAAATCTGTGGGGCTGAGAAGGCACCACCTGTAAACCACTCCCCCCGAAATGACTCTCTGGGGACCTGAAATCCCAGAATTCTCTGTTTAAATGACCCCTGAGTCCCCTTCCAGGGTCTCTGCAGGATCATCCATGGATCTATTCTCCCAGGGGTAGACCATGCTTCAAGTGTGCACCTAGGTCCAAGTGTGGCTATTTGAACAGAAGTTGGATGTTCAGGCTTAGGTGTCCGTGTGCTTGGGTGGGAGGCCCATCACGGTGCTGGACGGTGCAAGGACATGGGGGGAGAATGGGAGGGGCCAGGGCCTTGGGGCAGTTTCTCCCTACACTGTCATGTTGTGGCCTGGCGCTCCGAGGGGTCCAAGATTCTAAATCCAAATCTGACTTTCCAGATCATTTCGAAGGTATGTTTGCCAAGATAGGAGAACCTATTTCATCTAAGTTTGATGGCTTGATTTATAAACATTTGCATATATAGTGTGTGGCTCTCCTTCTATACGCTTGTCCGAGGCCCTGCAAATATTAGTGTAGGCCTCACCATCAAAAGCCTGCTTCTCCCACCCAGTTTCTCCCATGCACTTTGGGCCTAAAGAAGGGGGACTTCTGGGCTTTCTTAAGGAAACACTTCTGCCTTCTCAGCAGTTGGTCATGAGGGTGAGATACAGAGACAACGGAACTGTGAGAATAACAGTGATGACTCCACCAGCTCAGGATATCAGCTCCTGGAGCTGGGGAGGTGGGACTTCCTTTGCGGATTCTCCCAGGAGGCTTTGCACACAGACAAGGTGGTGGTCCAGCTTTACCAAGTTCCACCCAGCGTGGCTGCCACTGTACATGCTTGGCAATCTGGCTAGCTTTGCTCTGGGACAAGGGACCTCAAAATAAGGTTGCCCAAGTGGGGTTTTCTAGCGTGAGGCTTCTTTAAAAATTAACGTAAAGGCCCTTTTCCCATTCAGCTCCTTTTTGTCTTCCAGTTTGCAAGTTGGATGCCATATCCTTCCCACCTCTGAGAATTCAATGGCTACATATGTATTTCCACCACCTCTGTCAGGAATGACAAAGCACTGTGCCAGGCAATTAGACCCTGGGACCTGGGCTCTCAAGCTGGGGCTTGGTCTGGGGATGGGCTCATGGAATCTTTGTCTCAGAGACAGTGAATGTTTGGTAGCCAGTGTATCACAGGTGACTCAGGTGAGCCCCTCCTGGAAGGAACCAGGCTGGACCATGAATACAATGGTTTCCAGTATCCTACGGCTTTTGCTACCTGGAGGCATCCAGTCTGGGCCTTTCTCTGCCCAGGTACTTGTTTCCACCTTGACTACTAATTTCAAAGGATATGTCCTGGTGCATCAAGAGTCCCCAGGGGGAAGGATCTCCTGAACATAAGGCCCCTCGGGGCTCGTGGATGTAGAAGGGGACTTTGCCTTTTTCACATTCTCAACCCCACATCCTGAGCTCACAGGGACACTTTCAGAGTGTCGCTACCTGACCGCGACCACTATCCACGTGCAACTTATGTGATCAGAACTGAGAACTCTCTAAGGCATCATGCTCTCCCATCGTCACGGAAAACAGATAAATGTACTACTGAAATGTCCTCATTGGGCTGACCCTGGGGCTTAAAAATACCAACCTCTCCTGCTTGTTTAGAAGTCCCATTTCTTTAGATGAATCTAAATTCTTTGACACGCGTGACAGTGTCGACACTTCACAGCTCAACCCTGTGTCCTTCACAAACCTCATCTCGTCCATATACCCGCCCCCCACTCTGGCCCCCATGACCTTAGGCCAATCGATTAGAAAGTTTTCTTGGTTCTACCACCACATCTTGCTCTCCCAACCCCAGGCCATTTGCCTATGCCATCTCCTCTGCCTAGAACACCGTTCCCCTCTTCCTCACTTCACATGGCTAAATTTATTCATTTTCCAGTTTACATATCACCTCCTCTTGAAAGCCTTCTCTGAGCTCCAGGCCAGGACAGCACAAAACTCTCTACTTCATTCATTCTAACATTCACCCTTTCATTCATTCACTCATTCAAAAATGAGTGGCTTCTGTCTGCCACAGCACTCTTACTGAGGCGAGGGGGCAGTAATCGCTTGTTTTACCTCCTGTCTCCATCTGGACGGGCTGAAAGTTGGGGTCTTGAGACCAGCTCAGGGCTGGGCATGTGAGCCAGAGAGAACCTCTAGAATAAAGTTTTAGGTCCAGGCCTGTGGCAAAGAGAAGGAATGCCATCCGCTCTGCCTCCTGGCCCTCATCAGACCTAGGACCCTCAGAGAAGGCACACAGAAGCCCAGTCTACACATGCTCAACAGCATAAGTTCCAGGCTAAGGTGAGAAGTTCCTCACCCGAGGAGCCTTCCAGATGAGACAAGCGGTGTTGGGTCTCCTTACTTCCTTTTCCACCTTCTGCTATTCTGGGAGGTCGGGTTAAGAGATGAACTGGGTCTGGCCTCTTGCACGCAACAGGGCTGCTGGCCCATGCAGTGACTTTGCTCGGGTGCTAGAACGGAGCTCCCCCTGGGCCAGGAACTCGAAAATGGTGCCCCACTCTGGCCAGACAAATTAGAAAAGAGATATACCTTTCTCTGGACTGAAGCAGCCCCACATCGGTTTTCACAGCTGGCTCGACAAATGGAGGGTCGGTGGGGTGTAACTCCAAGGCCAGTCACCCTTGGACAGGGCACAACCAGCGTAACATGACATGCCTAGCAGGTCCTGGAGACGCAGATCTTCTGCCCCCGTTTGGCCTGCTTTAAGGATTACTTTGAGGGCCGCGGGAAGGGGTGGTGGCCCGAAGACTTTC